GAGGTTGCTGATCTGATGACGCGCAGGAACATCCAGGTGCTATGCCTTCAGGAGACGCGATGGAAAGGTGCTAAGGCCAGGGAAATCGGGGAAGGTGTCAAACTCTACTACAATGGAGAAGACACCAAGCGGAACGGTGTGGCCATAGCGGTAGCGGAGTCGCTCAAGACTATGTCTCCGCTGTGAACAGGATCAGCGATCGGATCATGGCTGTGAGGATAGACACGAAGGAGGGGTACTGGACCATACTCTCCGTGTACGCACCGCAAGCCGGATGCCCCGAAAGTGAGAAGGACGAGTTCTATCTCAGCCTTGACGATGCCATCAGAACGATTCCGGAAGGTGATTACCTCACCATAGCAGGTGATCTGAAATGGTCACGTCGGCAGTGACAGAAGAGGCCTGGAAAGGGTGCACGGAGGTAGAGGAATAGGAGTGAGGAACGCCGAGGGAGAGAGGGTCCTGGACCTGGCTACGGCCCACGATCTGGCAATCTGCAGCACGTTCTTCGCGAAAAGGGAGACTCAGAAGGTCACCTACAGCAGTGGAGGACGACAAACGGAAATCGACCATGTGCTGGTAAAAAGATCATCCCTCAGAACTGTGAAGGACGTCAAGGTACTCCCTGGCGAAGAGCTGGCTTCCCAGCACAGGCCACTCCTGGCAGACATAGCCATGGAGCTCCCCAAGAAGACAAAGGTAAGAACCGAGAGGAGAATCCGGTGGTGGAAGTTGCACCGTGCAGAGAAGAGTGACCTCAAGCGAAGGATAATGGAAGTCGGTCTCCCAGATCCTAACGGGCCAATACAGCGGACTTGGGGCAGCGCGGCTGAGACCATCCTGCGATGTGCCAAGGAGGTCCTGGGCGAGACGCGAGGTGGATTCAGAGGAGACAAGGCAGCGTGGTTCTGGAACGAGGAGGTCCAGCGAGTCGTGAAGCAGAAGAAGGAAGCATACAAGCGCTGGCAGAAGACCCGGAGCCCCGAGGACCTCGCTGCCTACAAGAGTTGCAAGAGGCTCGCTAAGGCCGCCGTAGCCAAGGCAAAGAACACGGAGATGGACGCCTTGTACGAGAAGTTGGAAAGCAGAAACGCAGAGAAGTTCGTCTTCAGACTGGCCAAAGCCCGGCATCGGGCTACTCAAGATATCAGGGTGGTGAAGAGCGTGAAGAGCAACAACGGCGCCATACTGAGGAAGCCAGCCCAAGTTCGGAGGAGGTGGGAAGAGTACTTCAGAGGTCTTCTGAACGAGGAGTTCTCCCACGAGAACAACTCACGGGCAGAGGCCACAGCTGGTCCCATCGCACTCTGGACAGAGGATGAGGTTCGGCGTGCACTTGGGAAGATGAAGGTTGGAAAGGCAGTTGGTCCGGATGGAGTACCCATAGAGGCTTGGAAGGCCCTGGGAGAGCACGGGGTGAGGTGGCTCACCCGCTTCCTGAATACGGTGACTGCCGAAGGAAGGATGCCGGATGCCTGGAGAACAAGCACTATCGTCCCCATCTTCAAGCAGAAGGGTGACGCGATGGACTGCTCCAACTACCGCGGCATCAAGTTGACTGCGCATACCATGAAGTTGTACGAGCGCCTGGTCGACTCGAAACTGCGGGACCTTGTCCAGATCTCCCAGGAACAGTTCGGGTTCATGCCCGAAAGGTCTACAACGGATGCCATCTTCATCGCTAGGCAAGTGATGGAGAAGTATCGCGAAAAGCGCAAGGCCTTGCTACCTAGCCTTCCTCGACCTGGAAAAGGCGTTCGACCGGCTACCGCGAGCAGTGCTATGGAGGTCGCTTAGGGAGCGAAACGTGCCAGAACGTACATATCCCTCATCTCTCTGGTGAGGGATATGTACGAAAGAGCCAAGGCCACCCCATATGGCCTAACGAAGGAGGTGGACATCACGGTCGGGGTGCACCAAGGGTCAGCTCTGAGCCCGTTCCTCTTCCTCCTAACACTAGATGTCCTGGTGAAGGGGCTCATGGAGGGACCACTGAAGACTATCCTCTATGCTGACGACGTCGCCTTGATAGCTGATAGTAGAGAGGAACTTCAAGCCAAGGTGCAGAAATGGCAGAAAGTCCTGACAGAAGGTGGGCTACGGCTGAATGTCAAGAAGACCAAGTTCCTGAGCTCCGAAGAGGGTGCAGAGTCGATCGTGGACGGCCATGGTGAAAGCATAGAAAGAATAGAGGACTTCCGATACTTTGGGAGTGGCCGACGGCGACTGGCGGCCGACGGCAGTGTGGACCAGGCAGTAATGGGGAGGATCAACGCGGCATGGATGAAATGGAGGGAGTCCACTGGAATCCTCTGCGACCGAAGGTGCTCCAGAGCGCTCAAAGGGAAGGTGTACCGAACAGTGGTAAGGCCTGCGATGCTCTACGGCAGCGAGTGCTGGCCCCTGAACAAGAACCACGAAAGGCAGCTTCACTCGGCCGAAATGAGGATGCTGAGATGGGCCTGCGGCTGGACGCGACTGGACAGGGTCAGGAACGAGGATGTCAGAACGGTCATGCAGACTGCCCCTGTCCAGCTGAAGGTGAGGGAGCAGCGACTGCGGTGGTATGGACATGTGCTGAGAAGACCGCAAGGCCACCCGATACCCCAACGGCATGTCGAGGGTTTCCACCCGATCTTACGCTCTCACTTGCCATGTGCGAGTCGTCTGTGTTCCCTACGTACGTTCACTATGAGCACTACTCCAGCACAGTACAGAGCTATGGTCGAGGAATTCCTATATCGTTGTTCACCCTTCTGCAGGGGTTGTGTTACTTTCGCGTCTTTGAACGCTTCACTAACACTAAGGCAATGGGCGTCTAGGACGTGCATTCCCTACAATTCGTGTCCGCCCATTATTCGAAATCTTACTACTTCGGTGCCGTAATGTTGACCTGCTATGCTTCTTGACTCGGCCTCCCTAGATTACTTGCATTTTCTTTAATCCATCTTTCTAGACCTCTCCGCAGCGTAGAGCAATGAGATTCCCAATTTCGGTGTTTTCAACGACTTTCTGCCCTTCTTCTTCGTTTGTGGTCCTCTTCGCATACCTAATTTCATATTCTGGTGGGACTGCAATATCAATTTGATCCTGTTCTATTGCCTTCGGAAGAACGGTTAAAAAAGAAATAGAGCCGTCGGACGCAAGTGCCATCAAATTTGTTACAACTTTCTCGCCAACAGTGTACTTTGGCTTTTTTATTCGGAGACCTACTTGGACATAGATGGTGATTACAAAAAAGTGATAGACGCCACTGATAAACCACTTACAAGTTAGAAATGTTGTAATGTACGTGATAAGAAGTAAAGCGTGATCACATGAAGGCGGAGTTTGCGATAAGAAGCCAGCCCATTAGAATTGAGGTAGAGGTGGTGGTGGTGCCGGAATGAAGAAAAAACCATGAGAAATGGCCAGAACCCGAAAAATGGACCCTTCCTTGCCCATTTCCGCACTGATGCGACTCTCATCGGTGCTGCCCTCTTCAACGCTAACGCTCTCTCTGCTAAACGGCTAGAGACCTGCGGCGAGTGGTTAGCCAGTCGATGGGCGTGCCGCGTCGATAGCGCTGCGAGTCGAAGCGGTCGTAGTGGTACGTTGGAGGCATATCCTTCGCTGCACATCGCGTGTGGTCTGCCCGTCACTCCACTGAGTAAGTTTCCTCTCGACCTTTGACATTATAGTGGAATCCACCCTTTGGCGACCGCAGAGGGGCTCAAAACTCTAGTATACAATCAGTGTTAACGATTTTTACACATTTTTTTTCAGCTTGGAAACGCTGCCAAAAACAATGCAAGAAGCAGGGCTGTTACAGGTTCAATTGCCAGTATTTTCCAGGCAGGAGGGTCTGCAGGAATGCCGGATGTTATCAATTCTTTTGAACCAGTAAAATGTTTTTGAAGCTGTTCAATACGTTTCTGTGTTAGGTGAAAGCTATTAAGTCAGACGAGAAAACTGGCTCAGAAGCGTTTAATTCGGACTCAGATGGTCCCTGGCAGAGCGTTGCCCTGTTTCTCTGAAGTATTATATGTAAGCGTAGGTACAACCAAGGTGAAAGTACATCTTCATTTGGTAATACATTCGACCCTATCTTTTTCGTTGGAGCCTGAAAAGTTGAGGATTACGCAGCTCGCCAAATCATAACACCTTCAAGTACTTAAGCTGCTGGTAAACTGTAGAGCTGACTGGTATAATGCAGAATTAAAGTTGTAGTATATACCCTCCCCTTCAAAAAGCGAGAAAGTGTCGGGTGCAGACCATGCACCACAAGTGACGACGGCCTTCACAAAATGTTAATGTTTTCTGCCAATGAAATGATTAGCCTGTTGCAGTTGTATTCTATCGATTGTCACTAATTACAACTATCATTTACCAGAAAATCAGCTATCACTATGAACAACTTCTAACCAGATTTACTTTGAGGCCGTCGTATTCACTAGGAGGCCGCGACACCGTCAGTTGTGGTGTTTGGTCTGCACTCGACACTTCTCGCTTTTTGGGGAGCAGGTTACCTTGACTCCTAAATATCGTAGGTTGATGTTTTGTTTATATCTCGTCTGAGATGTACCACACTGTGCGACTTCGGATGACCTCAACTAGACGTGGGACCTATCGATGGATGATCCCTCTTTCTCCTGATGTCTTTCTTCATTCGCGGCGCAAGTCAAGGGACAACTTCCTGAGAGGGATAATGGTGGAGTCCCTTTCAGGGAGTTGTCCGTACCATGGTGGTGGCTTCTCCTGTCCTCCTTCCACTTTCAGTTAATTCCGCAGCTCAGTCATCACTATAGAGCGCCCATATACACAGTTTTATCCCCGGTCTTGCCTTCAAGTCGAAAACCACGGAAAAATTTCGTGTTAAAAAGCGATTTTTCGTGAATATCACCACTTATTTCGATTACTGTGAATGATTACGATAACTCTTTATTCAACGTCGATGTAAACAAATGAACGAATGGAGAGTTTCTCATTCCACGGTGATGTTCACTCTTTTGCGACCTCATTCAATATCCGGTGGGTTGTTCGTTATTTGTTGGATATGCTGGCTGTTGATAGCTGACTGGTGGTACATTCTGCTGGTACGGTGGTGGTGGTGGTGGCGGCGGTTGGAAGGCAGGAACCAGTACCGGCACTGCGAGGATTCTCTCAAGAGCGCTGTACGGTGCACAGCATGAGCACTTCGCTTTCTTGTTCATGATCAGCATCATTCCGAGTATATCGCTCTGAAGTGGATCTTGTTAGAAAAAATCCTGAGTTCACTTATTAAAATACCAGTTCAGCTCCGCACGCAACCGAGCGCATCACATTATATGCTTCAGTGAAACTGGACAACTTCCAGAATATAAGGTCAAGTGGCTGAAACCTAAGGCCGCGTTCATAGTTCGCGACTCGGGAGATTAGGATAGTAGGCGACAGGATATTAGGATAGTAGTAGAGTAGGAGATTGCGCTGACAAGATTGGATACGTATCGATTGAAATCGCTGGAGAGTAGTAGATTGGGCGACTTCAAGCGAATAGATCAATACATATCTAATCTTGTCAGCGCACTATCCTAATCTACTACTACCAGTTTAGCTCCGCACGCAACCGCGCGCATCAAATGACGGGCTTCAGTGAAACTGGACAACTTCCAGAATGTTAGGTCACGTAACAGAGAAACTAACAGTAAATGTTTTGGAAGATGTGTCCCATGAAGTTCAAAGGTTGTCCAATTTCGCTGGAGGTTGTCGCGTAATGCGCGCAGTAGCATGCGGAATGAAATGTTACTTATCATGACTTCGTAAACATTTAGCATTGATATCGAGCTCGGGCGATTTAGCGGTTTATAGAATTCCACAATTGAAGAATCGGTGTGTAAGTGAAATATAACCAATCAATCAGCATCTACCGAGCTATGATGGAAATTTGGAAATATGATTTTATTCGCTATTAGTCCAAGTCCAGATAGTTGAGCAGCTCAACTTTCTTTGCTTCTTTGGATGAAAGGATAGGAATGGAACATATTCACTTGCTAGGGGCCTGGTTTAGTTTAACTGAGTGCACGCTCAATTTCGCTACTTTTATCAGTACAGTTGCCGCTCATACCACTTTCTGTCACCCACATTCAATCCTCGCCACCTTGTTCCCGTCCCATTCCTATACCACATGTGAAAGCCAAGGTTTCAATGTCACCGCGAGGGCCGCAACGAAACTGGTGGTATCCACACTTTGACGCCCCTTATCAGTTCTTATCAGTTGCTACACATTCGTTCACTCAACTTCTTGGTCCCCGCCTCACCCCACATATCATACATGAGTGCAAACTCTCCACCGTCAACGCAAACGGCGTAACGAAATTGGTGACATCAACATTTCGGCGTCCGTTATCAGCTCCTATCAGTAGTTATCACTTCCCGCCACCCATCATCAGTGTTCACCGCCCCCTATATATCCTAGAAGTTTGAGCGCTCTGGGTCCAAAGGGGGTGAAGTTATGAATTTCCGGTCAGACACACACACACACACACACACACACACACACACACACACACACACACACACACACACACACACACACACACACACACACACACACACACACACACACACACACACACACACACACACACACACACACACACACACACACACACACACACACACACACACACACACACACACCACACACACACACACACACACACACACACACACACACACACCACACACACACACACACACACACACACCACACACACACACACACACACACACACACACACACACCACACACACACACACACACACACACACACACACACACACACACACACACACACACACACACACACACACACACACACACACACACACACACACAACACACACACCGCTTAGCCGATTATATATAGTAGGATCCTACTCTCCTACTCTACTACTATCCTACCATCGTAATCTCGTAATCTACTACTTTCCAGCGATTTCAATCGATATCTATCTAATCTTGTCAGCGCACTATCCTACACTCCGGAGTCGCGAACTATGAACGAGGCCTAATAGATGTTTTGGAAGGAAAGGTTTGCGAGGCGTCAGACGAAGATCAAAAGCTATCCTATTTCGCAGAAGATTGAGGCGTAGTGCGCGCGGTAGCACACGCAATGAAACTGGTACTCTAGGGCAGACGGTGTAACATTTGCATTGATACCGAGCGTCGGATGGTTCTAACTTTTATTAAACTTCTACTGTGAGTGTCAGTTTGGGAGTGATATCTAAACTAATCAATCAGCATCTAACCTAGCTGTGGCAGAAATTCGCCATTGGTTCGAGTTCAGATAGTTGTGCGGCTCAACTTCTTTTGCTTTTTTAAGGCGCATTAGGCCTGGAACATATTCACGTTCTGAGAACTTAGTTTTGTTTGAGTGCACACTCAACTGCGGCTACGTTTATCAGTACAATTGCGCTCAATATCTTTTTCTGTCACCTCCCAACATCTCCTCGCCACCTTGATCGTTTGCCAATGTTAACTGCGAAGAAGTTGAAGACATTTACATTCAGGCATCTCTATCATTCCTTCTCATTTCTTACCAGTTCGTACTGCCCACCATCAGTGTCCCCGTCTGACCCCCATACAGTGTGTAGGAGTGAGGGCTTCACTGAAACTCGTCCACACACATCCCTTGTCCAGCGCAAGGTGGAGTGCGGCTGAAGGGAGGAAAGGGGAGGGGTGAGTTATTCCGGGCACAATCGGGAGTTTCTTTTGCTTTCTTTTTTCTTTTCCTGAACACTCTCCTCCACCCTCATTATTGAGCGCTCTTACTCATCCACGTAATCCCATGAACTGCCTTGAAGCAACAATTTCAGATTTGTAGATGGCGAGTCACTGCTGATAGAAAAAATGCAAAGAAAAACGCCGGCGAAGCCATTCAAACGGGCTTTCCCTCTTCCCCTTTGAAATGAAGGAAAGGGCGGTCGGACGAGTTGTCTGAACTAGCTTGCATTTCTTGCTGGGTCGTGCCACCAAGAAATGCGGCCGCAATCGCATTTGCCCAACTACAAACAGAGTACCAACAAAGAATGCAATTAATGAGCAAGCAAGTAAAGTCATCAAAAGGGTCGACGGACTACTTGAACTCGGTCCTTTAAGCTGCCTCAATTCGACGCTCTCGTCTGCGCTCTCTCGCCTTATCAGCGGCTCATGACCACTGTGATCTCACACATTCAAACTTTTGCCACACTGTAATTGGCTCACCCACCTCGGAGTCCCCCCCTACAAGGCTTAGTCCTAGAGGCTCTCACCTCCCCTTGGGATTTGGAGCCGAGCCAGGCGCTATTCTCTAATTGTCTGTGCTCTCCGCCATTCGTGGCAGGTCTATGAAGAAGTCCATGTGGTCCATAGACCGTCAAAAAGACGTAGCACTAATTTCAAAACACTGATAGTCACAAGCAACCGCTCACGATCCCGCATCAAAGCATGCGATTTCCACGGCTGGCAACAGGGGTTGCTCCCTACAGGCAGACACGCCGAATTCGAGGCGTTCAACTTCCTTTCTAGCGGCTTTCCAAGGTGAGTTTTTTGTTCAGTGACACTTCATTTGTTCTTGACTAGGGCTAGTGCATCTTTCCACCTCCATTAGTATCGAAGGCAACAGGCCCTGCTGGGACTGTTGCTTTGATTACACTTATCAGCATAAGTGCGCCAATTCAAATTTTTGTTCTAGTTACGTACTATTTCATTTAAAAGACTATACAGTGCGTTTTAAAAGTATGGAGGTACCCTGAGAACTGCTCTTAATGAAACTGCATGAATGGAGCAGTGATAAGAAAGGCAGCCATGTTGGCACGTAAATCAAATCCGGAACCGAATCTGCCAGACAAGCTTTAGGGTCATTGCAGCCGTCAAAAGCGCTGATTGTTTTGCTACCTGAACCCCTTTTTCTAAACCCTGTTTTCGAACACAGCTAAACCATTACGGAAACGGCATAGAATAACAGAGCCACGGATGTTCCTTCGCATAATGCGGATAATTGTCCTGGTACAACATTGACATTGGACCTGGACATTCTGAATTTGACAGCAGAAACAATGCTACGACATCATGTAACATCCCAGCGCATTTGAACGGCATCACTGCTTATCGCTCCCACTATCAATTTATCATTCAACTGTATCCCTTATCAGCTGCAATGCTCTGTGACACAGTGGACGAAATTGAATTTCCAGTCAGAGTCACGGACAAATGGACCAAAATACAGCAATCGCCTCAAGAAATTGTACATAGCGGGTAGTTAATAAGCTTTGGGCCTTTCTCATCCGACATTTCGAGCCACTGGTCTCCAATATACACATCGATTGGAGTTCATGGTCAGAAGACGACTCGATTTGTAAGCCTGAGCTGAATCACTCGACAAATCACAATCTAATCAATTATCAGAGCTTAGTTGTAGCAGCAGCAGTGGCTGCATAGCGTTATATGAATGCAGGATACATGACTTTTCGCAGAGGAAACGTTGATAAATCAGAAAAGTTGATCTTAAGGAACATGTCAGTTATTACCGTAACCATGACCCTACCTCGCTCATCCCGACGAGGTGAGCAGCTTTCTTACAGCACTTTTCGCAGTTGTTCGAGGTGTAGCCTTTGTTCATCTGAATAATGATTTTGCACACACTTTATCCTACCAGAGAAAATAAGAGAAACTGTAACAGAGCTGAGTTCAGCCAAGCCTGAACAAAATGCTGAAGCAACAGGAAAAAAGAAACTCACCTTGGTGGGGTTGTGGCCGCCGTAGTACACATCAGCACATTCCTGGACAAATGGTCGTGGAACTGAAAAGGAAGGTCTCTAAGCTGTTTCCAAAATCCAAGCCGATTCTTCACACCGCACAAAAAGTGTATATTGATTATGCGCGAATAAAATACATGCCCTCTCCTAGAAGCTCAAGCACTGGGACCGAATGATCGCGGAAGAAGAAAGTGGCCAAGAGCGCAACGCATGTTGTGGCTATCGAAAAGCGGTCGAAGTGGTCTTACCAGGGCCCTAGCGCCCTTGTTACGCATTTTCGGTACGGAAGAACATCATTTAGTCAACAGCCCAATCCCACCCACAGTTGCATTGATCCATCGTTCTCACGAGTACTCATGGTGGAGTACGCCTTCAAACCCACAGCTTTGCACCTGTCGTTGATGCTGAATGTTTTAGGGTCCAGCCAATCGTGAATATTGAATGGCGCGATATTTGTCGGAAGAAATGTATGCAGTGGAAATATTATTTACCGCTTGCTATTCACGAAATGGCGGAAGTGGTGTAGTGACAAGTGGCGCGCTCACCACGCGAGCGGTCCGGGATCAAATCCTGGGTCGTGAGTCGCCCGGGCCAACCAAGCCTTCCATCCCTCCGGGGTCGGTTAATTGGTACCAGACTTGTCTGGGAGGATAAAAAACACTGACTTGTACATCGGCTGGCCCCCGCAAGTCATTGTATAGGCCACATCGCATTCAAACGCCACTACGAATGTACAAATGGAAGTAGAATGCGTGCCGCATCCCAAAAAGGGATTGATCAACGGCAAATGCTTTATCCTTTTTATTACGAATTCTTGATCTCCAAGTGTTTCTTCTTTCCTTTTTTCTCCATATCAAAACTGTACCACAAAAAGCATTTCATCGTTTCGGTGAGGGACCACCAGACTCAACGATTGGGCGAGGTCTACGGAACTGATTGGCTCGTTTTTAGCAACTTTGTAGACCGCCTGCGCGGACAAGGCGGAGAAACGGGTGAATCAAATAGGCACAGTGGGCAGTGATATGTTCGAACTATCGTCACCGCCGCATTCAACCGTATACCACTGCTTTGAGCAGCCTTGCTTATGAACGACTGGTAATCTGAGGTCCGCGTGGTTGGCATTGAACAACACCCACACAGAACCCAAGGTCGCGACGGTATCCGGCTGCCAAAAAAGCCGAAACGCGAGCTCTCACCTCTCACCACAGCTCTGAACTCGGTCTCTTCAAAAAATGCGACCAAGCCTCTTCCACGGTCAAGCGAGGGGTCGAGAGAAGTTTTGGGAACGACCACCTCTTCCCTTCCCCTCCCCCCTAAGTAACGGCGGTTGCTATGTACAAACCGAACGGTACATGGTCGTTGTACAATGCATAGGTTGACATTGGGGCGCGTCACACGCCGGAGCAGGAATTGAAAATCGTGGCTACTTTGAGACGGCTATAGCTTTTCTAGAAATGACGAATAATAAGCCCAAAAGGATATTTGGATGTAGTGCTCTCTATAAGTGCTGAGCTGGTACAGTTAAAAAAGTCAAATGTAACGAGGTTTGGTTTGGTGATATGCGAATTTCCAATCAGCTTTTTTCATTTTTTTCACGGCGATTTCCAATCCAATAACTTCCACCCTAACCATTCATTCAAACAATAGGTAACATGCTGTAAACTAAAGAGTTGATCGTCTCGACAATAATCGAATTTACTCTTTAGAGTAGATGTATCAAAAAAGCTCCCAGCGAGGACCAATTTCACTATGCTCCCTGAGTTAAAGGCACGTGTCGCAATTGAAGTGGTGTGTTATTCTGTTCCAAATTAGGCAGGAAGTAGAGGGAAGTTAGTCGAGAAAAAGCCAAGAGCACCATAGAAAACACTGATTTTTTTCTCGTAAGGGCGATCGTGGTACGACGGAGCGTTGCGAGGAGAGGAACAACGCGAGAGCACGTCGTACACGAGAGGGCGCAGACGCAACGTATGTTGCTTCCATAAGAATGGCAGCGGTCGCAGCGGCCAAGCGAAATCATTAGCTCCTTGTCGCGCACTTTCAAACCGCAACACCCCTGTGCTTAGGTTCTCTGCTACCTCACCTAATCGTAATCCGTGCCTTTGAGGCGGGAAACTTTATCACGATTAGATTTTCCCTTCTTGCAGCTCCACACAGCCACTTCTGGAAACCTTTGATGTGGTCTAATTCACATTTCCTCTGCAACGGTAGAGCAAGATGAGAGCATGCACGGCTTATTCCGAAGCTTACGACTCTTTCACTTTTGTGGCCACACGACTCTTGGCGAAAATTGCTCCACGCTCGCTTGTCCATGGTCCTCTCCTGCTATTTTAGCAACTCATACGTCTTCCTTAGTAGACCAGTGGCGAATATATCTCACCTTGGAAGGTACAATAAAGCTACTTACTGCTGCCTCTGCGATGATGAGACGACGTGTAGACACCATAGGCCACATCGACGCTGCATATGTAATCTGAAATAGAAGAAAACTATTTCGGAATTGTTTTCGCACGGCTCGAAAAACAGCTCACTGTTCATGAGTACGTCGAAATTTGGTCCGAATGGACCGTATGGTCCGTAAGGTCCGTATGGCCCATTTGGTCCATATGGTCCATTGAAATACGGTGGATAACTGAAGCCACCATCGTAGGTGGGGCCGCTGTATGACGGTTGATCGTAGCCATAGCTTCCTGCGGCGGTCGCATTCTTCACATCCTAGAGGAGGTCGGATCACATCTCATTGCTGTTAGTAGGACAGCAACTAATCGTAAGTGTAAAAAGAAGGAAGAATGATAGGGTTAGACCGGAAGGGCAAAAACTGATGCTCGCTCTCTTCAGGGATTAGTGGAACACCGCATTCCAGAATTCGGGACTCAAAGAGACGACAGGAGTCCGATGGGTTCTCAACTGGCGTTAAAAGATGCGAGCTAGTAGATCCTAGAACGAGCTACACCCATATACAGTAATCCTTAGAAATTTTTTTCTGACAGTTTTCGATATTTAATATTGTCTTTTTTATTTAATATTTAGCAGTTTTTCATCCTGTGGTTAGACTGCGAACGCTCTATATTTATGAGAGAGCGGACTGATAGATCAAGAGAGGTCAGGATATGCACAGATGGTAAGGGAATAGGCAAAAATAGTGGAGTCTGGCTGGAAGACTAGATCTTGGTTGGGAGAATAGAGTTTAAGATGAGGGAAGATGAAACAGAGAATACTCATTTCTTTTATCTGTCAATCACCATCTGTAGTCATTTATTGTAATCTCCTATGCTATTGTTCCTATTCACCCTAAACTTTCTTTCTCGCATCTCCATTCTTCGAACTTGAGTATGTAGCGCGCTTTCATGTCCAACTCTGCTCTATACATGTTATTCAGAATACGAATTGCATAACCTCTTGCCTCATTAAAAGCTTTCGGTATAAATGATGGACGAAAGCGCTCATTACGAAGCTGAGAGGTGGGGACGCTGGTCTGAAGAAAGGACACAACCCGATGGCCTCGCCAAAGACCTGCCTATTTAGCCGCATTCCACTTGGACAGAGAGCGGCGCGTTGAATTCACGAACAATGTCTTGCTCCAGTGTAATAGCAGTGGAACCGCTGCACCTGCGTCCGCCTTTCAAGAGCGAGGGTGTGCTTGCGAAGAAAGTGGGAAGTTAGGGTGACGTAGCACCCTTTTTGTTCTAACTTATTTCAGAGAGGGTGATACGGCGCGAATCCTCGACATAGTTTCTCGCAATGCGAGTATGCCGAAATGAACATCGCGCGAGAACAGACGACACCATGGGAGTGTGAATGTCGGCGAGAGAGTGTCTGGAGCGAGATCCTCACGGCGTTGAGGTATTCAAGCGATATTCACATGTTCAGAGAAAAAGGGGGCGGCGTCACGCTTGTCGCTGTGTACTACCCGGGCAGAACAGTACGCGCGCTATCCTGGTGCGCTTAACTTTGGCTACTGGTGTCCATGTGTACAATTTGTTATAAATTCACTACTACTTTTTTGCATTATTGGATTGAAGCAGTCAAAGAGATATCCGGAAAGCACAAGCAAACCCTAGAGAGGTATGGCGTGTGGCGAGTCCAAGATTTTCTATTTTTACATTCTAATATCGTATAATTCTCATTTCTTGTTTTATCTCAACTATTGTTAAGGTGTAACATTGCAAGCGAAGATGAAAGATATGAGGCATTTTCGGCCGAAAGCCATCAGGAGGATGGGGCGTATTCTACATGTGGCTGAATTCTGAACTTCGAAGTTCTTGGCGTTAGGATGGTGCAGAAGTGAAGTGTAAAATCTGTATGACACGCTTTGAGCAGTAAAGCCAAACGGATAATAAGTGAAGAGCTAAGGATTATCATTTATTAACAGTCACCATTATTTAGAACCCGGAAAGGATTAGCGGTTCACTGAGTTTGGGATTTCTTTATGGAAATGAAAGTTATCATGAGACTACTGACTGTATTATGTTTATGAATTTGTCTTATAAATAAGTATTTTTCAACTATTATTATGAATGATTTGTTTCCTCAATTAATTGCGTTTTACCTGATTATTAGAGAAGTCTGGGTGGTGTTGTGACCCCTAAGCCGTCAGCCTTAATGAGGTCACTTCGCACATAGGGTGCGAAAATTTGGCTCGTACCATTGTTTACCCACCCGCATGATCTTAGAATCAAATCTCAACCAACCCAGTAATGTCCGGGCAAACGCGCGGCATGTTCCAGAAACGGTTTGATCGAATCCAAATGTTTTGCCCATTTCAACTTTTTTCCAACGAGTAATACTCAGCACAATTTTGTCACTCAGAGAGATTGCTGCGTTTCCAGATACGACCGTCGAGACCGTGCAGCTCTGATCTCGAGAGGAATCGTTTCAGCGGTTCAAGTGATTGTGATAGTGCCGATAATGGTGCCAGAGATTCAAGAGATTCCGGAATCTACAGGTATGTGATTGAAAGCATCTTCCACCTGCATTGTTGTACCACTGTCATTTCAGCTCTCCATCTCCGCCAGATGAGCACCACGCATCTTTGTCGCAAGTGCATCTCATGCAACTGAAGCAGTTTCTACTGGCGAAACAAGCAGATGAGATCGCACTGGCGATATCGCATGAGCACGCTAAAACACTTCAATTCTTTGAATCTCCTGTCGAGGTACATGCGCTCATTTCTAGAAATTCGCTATCTCAAATGAGGGTCATTTCGTAGCCAGTAAGAAAGACGAAGGACAGCGTTTCCTTCTGCATCCGTCTAGTGTTTTCCCGAATTGTAAAAAGAAGCATAACATTCCCTTTTCGTAAAGCGAGAGATTACGACAAAGTGCGTGCACATGCACCTGTAGGAGCAGTAGTCAGGGGCCGAAGGAAGAGAGGTCTCTTCGTGGCCGAAAGTGCTAAATTGCACCGTACCGAGCTTGCCAATCCTTCTATCGTTTTGTGCTATAATTTTGACAAGGCATTCCATTTCGAGCGCGTTTCATGTGACTTTCCCATGGAATGCGTTATCAATCAAATTATGGTCTTTGTGATTATGACTATCGGTTTAACATGTGCAAACGACCTCTTAGTTTGCTAGCTCGTCCATTATCGGAGGTCAACGGGCAAAGAAAGGGGTCCCATTTTGCGCCTTCTTGACGGATTTCTTTGCTTTTTTCGCCACTGGGGCATTATTCAGCATCCCCACTTCCACTATGAACCCACCCCAATCTTATCGTAATCCCTCGCTTTGGTACTTCCTCGCAAAGTTTTAATGCTTTCGGAACTCATACAACGTTAGACGTAGAATCTGTCTGTTATCAAA